AATGCTTTTTCTGCATCTATCGAGATGATCATATGGTTCTTATTTTTAAGTCTATTGTCAATCCACTTTTTCTACTCTGCTGACCTCCCTGGTATTTTATGAGGTCCCTCCATTTTTTCACTTATTTTACTCTTTATTTCATCTACATGAGTGAATATTTTACTTTTGAGTTTGCATAAGTCACTTTCCTTGCTTCTCTTCAGTTTCATCTATGAATGCAAAATGCAATTATTTTCTTTTTCAATGACTGTTAACTCCACTGTGTGTGATGTGTGTGTATGTTTGTGTGTGTAAATCCCTTTTTTTGTCCATTCATGGGCTCATAGGCATGTGGTCTGGTTACATAAACTGCTGTCATAAATTTGTTGCTATACTGAAGTGTCTGTGTCAAGATAATTGTAGGTTTGGGGTAAATATGAAAAAGCAGTCACATGGTGAGTCCATTCCTTGTCTTTTCAGGATTCCACATGCTTCCTTGCAGAGTGGTCATACTTCCTTGCAGTCCAACAAACAATGGCCCTTACTCTTCCATTCTCAGTCACATCCATTATTTATCTGTATTCTTAATGATTGCCATTCTAACTGCAGTGAGTTGAAATCTCAATGTTGTTTTGGTTTCTACTTCTCCAGTAGGTAGGGATGATGATCATATTTCAGAGAATTTTTTGGTTATTTGGCTTTATTCTTTTGTGACACATATCTTTGGCACTTTGACTCATTTATTGGTAGAGTAGTTTGAATTCTTGGTGAGGTTTTCTTTTCTATTTACACATTGTGTTAATGATTTTTGTCAGAATCATACTTGGCAAAGATGTTCTTGCATTCCCTGATTCTCTCTTCCTACTCTTAACGATTTAGTGTGCACAGAATTTTTCAATTTGATTCTCTCCTACTTGGTTTTATTTCATGAACTTTTATGAGGCTTGCTAAGAAAGTTGGAGCCTGAAGAAATAAGTTAGAATTTTGAATCTGTGTTTTATTTTATTAGTTGCAGGATTTTTGTATAAATCCTAGATTATTTATCAACTTTGACTTCAATTTTTTTTTTGCAGTGAGAAATATAGGGATGTTGTTTCAGTTTTCACTTATGGATATCCATTTACCCTAGCCCTTAGTTTTTAAGAAGGCTACCTTTTCTCCCTTTGTTTTTCAAAACTTTGTAAAGTATCAGATGATTAAATTTATGTGGATTTGTGTCCATATCTTTTATTTTATTCTACTGATCTACATTTCTGTTCTGATGTCATTTTGGTTTTATTTCTCTGAAAATTTTTCTTAGTGTTTGGATATGGATTACATCAAGTTTGTATGAAGTTTTTGGTAGTAATGCCCTCTTCAAACATTAATTTTGCCCATCAAGAACATGGGAGGTGTTTCTCACTTCACATCTTCTGTTTCTTCCTTCAGTTGCCTTTCACATTGGTAAGTTCAAAATAAAGACACATAAACTCAATTTACCTTTTTCTTGCACAGCACTTTCTGGCTCCTGCCTTGAGCCACCTGGAAGTAGTGAGGTTAACACAAGAGACCAGCAAGAAAGAGGAAGTAGCATGCCAGAGAGTGGGCTTTTATTGGGAAACAAAAAATTCAGGGGAAAATTCCATCCAATGAAGGTCAAGGGAGACAGCATTCCAAAGTCAGGGTCAGTGATTGATTTCCAGGTCAATGGTGAGCCACACCCCCACACAGACAAGCCCTTGTACCCAGAAAGGGTGGGGAAAGCTCTGACTCAGCTGGTCTGAGCGCTTCACACCCAGTCAGTGAGGTATCTCAGTCACGTGTGAGAACAGCTTCCCACAGAAAAACACATCTGGAGAATTTTTTATAATTTAACAGTAGAATAGTTCTTTGAAAATGAACAGCATATCTACTGTAGTGATGAGTAAACCAGAACTGAGTTTACCAACTAGGAATGAATTCAGAATGTAGAAGAGATGTCTGCACTCCCATGCTTGTTGAATGATTATTCACAATATGAAATATGAAAAATTTATTGGTAAGTATGTATGGATAAATAGGAAATGTACACACACACACAATCACACACACACACACACACACACACACACACACTGAGGCACATAGAATTAAATGCTATGCTGTCATAAAAAAGTGAATTTTATCATTTATGGTAACATGGACAGACTAAAAGGGTATACTGCTTAGAGAAAAGAAAAGGCAGAAATCAGAAAATATCTCATGATCTCCAATTTACGTGGAACATAAAAATAGTGCTGTCATGTCATTTTAGAATACATTAGTGGCAAGACTATTGGGTTTGATGGTTTGGGAGATTTCCCAGAAAGAATATAAAATGGTAGCATGAAAGTAGGAATAAGATGAAGACAGTTGTTTTCCCAGAACCAACAATACATTTTCAACTTGAAAAATAAAAACATAATGAGTCTGAAACATTCTATCGGAAAAAATGCTATACAAATATAATGATGGAATATATAGAATAATTAAATATATTCATCACTGCACAAGTGCCTTTTACTTTTGAAAAATCAATCTACACCTGGAAAGTGAATATAGTCTTATTTGCCAATTGGAAAACAATTAGTTAACGAAAAATACACTAGTAGTAATCTAGAAAATTTCTTCATCCACAGAAAAATGACACCAATCAAAACTAGTAGGGACTTTTGAAACTTTATATCCTGATCTCAAGATGTCTCATTAAAATATTTCTGTCTGTAGTTTTTCATTTACAAAGTACTATATCCATATTGTAAAAGAGTTTGGGTGTCAAATGGGTTCTTTGCTTGTAAATTTGAAGAATAAAATCCATAGTCACAACAGTGAGAGCATAGTAATAGGACTTATTTAGTGAAATAAAGAAGAAGGAAATGTAAGAAGAAAATTTAAAAAGAGAATAAAAGCTCACAAAGTGGGAGCATTCCCAGGAGATGATTTTAAAAGGTGTCTTTTATCTATAGGTTTTGTAAGCTTGATCTTTCCCTATAGAAGATTGATTAGGTATGGGATTCAGAAAGTGGAACATCACCTCTAATTTGCTTCCTTCCACAAGTCTGTAGAAAAGTGATTTCTAAATTACAATGACAAAAGGTTAAAAGAGAGGGTCCATTGGCCCAAGAGAATGTACATTGTAGGGTTGCTCATATCTAGAAACTGGTAAGGGGGCTGTCATTGTGGTGAAAAACAGCTGGGTTTAGGACTCGATTTCTCAATCCTGTTTCTTCATTTCTTCTCTGAGAGCCTTTTCCTGGATGCCTATTGCTGATCTACATTTAATTCTCATTTTGTATGCATCAAATTCTCCCAGTGGAATTCTTTCTGTTTCTTTACAATCATTTTCTCAGGTCTGATCTAACTCAAGACATCTTCCAAAATAAACCCAGTTCCTAAAGGAACATTATGTCAGGGACAGAGTTTTCAAAAAGCACCCAAGTAGGCAAGAAATTAGATCCATTTTTTTTGAACTCTCTCTTCATTGTATTCTGCTAATTTTTAGGGTAAGTATCTGTAGTGGAGAAATGGAAACAACTTTTTTTCCTTCTTTTTGTAGCTTGTTAGAACTGTTGTACCTGCAGCCTTGAAAACACAACGTCTAGAGTATTCAGTAAGGCAATATGTTCAATGCATACATTTTAAGATTATATATTTATGGAGGAAGGATGCAATCAAGGTTTTTATTTTTTCATCTTCCTGGTAGCCTCAGGTTGAAAGAATTTTACAAATTGCATTGGGATTTTCAGGTGAATTCAGTAAGAAGGATAAATTCTAACTTTTGTTTCTTTCATTTATGTCTTCCCTGTAAACTCCTGGATGGTTACCAGAGGAGAATATACAAGGTTCATTCCAACAGTTGAGAAATAGCAGATATCAAAATAAGAATCTTGAGAATATAAAATTCAGTAAACATGAAATTATGAGAAAGTGTAAAGGGGAGCCAGAATGTCCTGGACCTTGTCACTGTGCAGTGGCATCCTCTGAGAGGACTGGGAGAGAAGATGAACATCAAGAATCTGCCCAAACTAATGACTTTGTGTCAGGAATTCAGTTGGATTCATTTTCTTCTTGGAGTAAGTGTGTAGATCCACTTATGGAACATTATTTTACTGAGAATATCAATATAGAAAATCAGCAAGGAAATGTAGATCATGATGCAAAACATCATTTGAGACATTGTGAATTTGGCTTGAGATCTCATTCAAATATTGCTGTAGACAAGAGATTCCAAAATATGAGAAAAAAATCTCAATGGGATTTGTGTGATAATTCATTCATCAAAAGTTCACTATTTCTGCATCAAGACTTCCCTCAGTTCTGTTCCAATGTCTGCAGTTTGGATAAAATTCAGAGGGCCAACGTCAACACATTGATGATTGAGAAAAGAGAACACACTGGTAAGTATGAGAAAACTTGCATAAATGATGAAACTTGGGTGTCATTTGCTGATCGATGTAACCTAAGTAAATTGGAGAGCACCTCTGTTGAACAGGAGAGCCATGAACACAAGGAAACATGGGAAGACACTAACAAGGGATCAGATCCACCTAACACACAGAAATCTCCTTTGACCCAGAACCATGAAAAATGGGCGAAATGTGCAAAAGTCATCAATGAGTGGACAAAAGCTCTTACCCATTCTAATATCCAGAGGAAAGACAGATCTTATGAATGTAAGAAATACAGTGAACTATTTAATCAGTTCTCAGTTTGTACAGACCATGAGAAAATCAATACCATGGAAATGTCCAATACATATACAAGTGAAAAATACAGGAAAAGCCCTGATGAGTCATCAAACAAAATTGGACCTAATACAATATGCACCCAAGAAGATCCAGGGACAATCAAGGAATGTGATGAATCATTTACACCATGTTTAAATCTTGAACAACAGCAGAATAACCAGAATGAAGAGAAACTTCATAAAATAGAAGATTGTAAAACTTTCATTAGTAATTCCTCACACAATGAGGTGCATAAGAGAATCCGTGCAGGAGAAAAACCCTACAAGTATACAGAATGTGGCAAAAACTACATTTCTTCCTCAGAACTGCTTTGTCATCAGAGAATCCAAACGGTAGAGAAACATTACAATTCTGAAGAGAGTGGGAAAGTATATATGTGCTCTACACAACTTGTTCATCCTCAGATACTCCATACTGGAGAGAAACAGTACAAATGTAAGCATTGTGCAAAGACTTTTAAATGTAGCTCAAGCCTTGTTATTCATCAGAGAATCCATACGGGAGAAAAACCATACAAATGTAAAGATTGTGGCAAAGCCTACATTTCTTCCTCACAGTTAAATATTCATAAGAGAGTGCATACAGGAGAGAAACCCTACAAATGTGAAAGTTGTGGAAAGGCTTTTGCTCATTCCTCATCTCTTGCTGTGCATCAGAGAATCCATACTGGAGAGAAACCTCACAAATGTAATGAGTGTGGCAAAGCTTTCATTCGTTCCTCAATCTTAAATGTGCATAAGAGAATCCACACTAGAGAGAAACATTACAAATGCCAAGTATGTGAAAAGGCTTTTATTCATGCATCACAGTTTGCAATTCATAAGAGAACTCACACTGGAGAGAAACCTTACAAATGTAATGAGTGTGGCAAATCCTTCATTTGTTCCTCACATTTAAGTGTGCATAAGAGAATACATACAGGAGAGAAATCATACAAATGTGAAAGTTGTGGAAAGGCTTTTGCTCGTTCATCATATCTTGTTGTTCATCAGAGAATCCATACTGGAGAGAAACCTCACAAATGTAGTGAGTGTGGCAAACGTTTCATTCGTTCCTCAACCTTAAATGTGCATCAGAGAATCCATACTGGTGATAAACCTCACAAATGTAATGAGTGTGGCAAAGCTTTTATTTGTTCCTCCATCTTGAATGTGCATAAGAGAATACATACAGGAGAGAAATCCTACAAATGTGAAAGTTGTGGAAAGGCTTTTGCTACTTCATCATATCTTGCTGTGCATCAGAGAATCCATATTGGAGAGAAACCTCACAAATGTAATGAGTGTGGCAAAGCTTTCATTTGTTCCTCAACCTTAAATGTGCATAAGAGAATACATACAGGAGTGAAATCCTACAAATGTGAAAGTTGTGGAAAGGCTTTTTCTAGTTCATCATATCTTGCTGTGCATCAGAGAATCCATACTGGATATAAACCCTATCATTGTAAAGATTGTGGGAAAACCTTCATTTCTTCCTCAGAACTTCAAAGGCATCAGAGAATCCACACTGGAGAGAAATATTACAAATGCCAAGAATGTGGAAAAGCTTTTAATCATTCTTCACAGTTTGCTATTCATAAGAGAATTCATACTGGAGAGAAACCTCACAAATGTAATGACTGTGGCAAAGCTTTCGTTTCTTCCTCAACCTTAAGTGTGCATAAGAGAATACATACAGGAGAGAAATCCTACAAATGTGAAAGTTGTGGAAAGGCTTTTGCTCATTCCTCATCTCTTGCTGTGCATCAGAGAATTCATACTGGAGAGAAACCTCACAAATGTAATGAGTGTGGCAAAGCTTTCATTTGTTCCTCCACCTTAAATATGCATAAGAGAATACATACAGGAGTGAAACCCTACAAATGTGAAAGTTGTGGAAAGGCTTTTTCTCGTTTCTTATATCTTGATGTGCATCAGAGAATCCACACTGGAGAGAAACATTAGAAATTACAAGAGTGTGGAAAAGCTTTTATTCAATCTTCACTGCTGGGTATTCATTAGAGAATACATACTGGAGAGAAACCCTAGAATTGTAAAGATTATGGCAAAATGATCAGTTCTTACTCAGGTTTTCATAGGCATCAGAATATCCACACTTTGTAGAAACTCTACAAATATGAACATTGTGCAAAGGAGTTTACTCATTCCATATTTTCTGTTGTACATCAGAGGAGTCGTACTGGGAAAAAAAAAAAACACCCTAGTTGAAGAATGTGGCCAAACATTTCACCACAGGTCTCACTTGAGTAATCATCAAAGAATATATACTGGAAACACATGAATGTGATTTCAAAGAATGTGAAAAATTGATTAACATGTGCTCACATTTCATTTTATATCAGACAATTCCTACTGATGAGAAAGATTGGAATCGTAAAATATGTGAAAAAATTTAAATACAGAATCAACTTTATACAAATCACAGAAATTGTACTACTTTTATTCATTCAAAACATGCAGGTTGAAAGGCTTTGGCAAAATACCCACAATAGAGATCGCAAGAAGATACATAGTGAAAATATCATTTTTACATAGAATAAATCTGTGGATCTATTTCAACAAGCAGAAAACTACAATAGCAATACAAATTTTCATGCAAGAAATGGCTAAGGCACTGGCAACTTCATGCCATATTCTAATCTAGAGTATTATAGATAAGAATGCAAAGTCAACAATTGCATGATTTTGTGTGTTTCAAAGGATCAAAGACAATATCTTTTGTCTATATGTTTATATCAAATAGATCCATTTTTCTCTGGACAATTCTGCTATTTCAAATTGTACATAATAGAGATGAATTTCACCCTCAAATCAGTTTTGACTACATCTTATTTCCTCATAATTATATAAAATCTCAAGGTCAATTTGCTGCATTTTAAAGAGAACTTTGTATGAAACAGAGGCACCATTAATATTCATTTTACATAATGATTAGGGTGGTAAAGTGTAACGTACATCTAGAACATCCCTAGTTGGGCATGCTTTGTGTTTGAATTGCAACTGAATGGGTGCCAATCTGCAGTTAGAATTCAGAGCACCATTCTTCATCATAAAATTGAGAAAAGAAATTCACAATTAGTAAAATGAAACATATCATGAATCAAGACTTAAGGAGGAAACAACTCGCCAGTGCATGAAAATATTGGTAAATATATATAGTGAGGTATGATTCAAGTCTGCCATATTATTGTGTGTAAGAAGGATTTTAAATATCTTTAACTGTCACCATGGAAATTTGAAAGTACTGGATGGAAAAGTTTTTAAGTATATATCATCTTGATATTTTATAGCAAGGTGGCTATTTTTTAATTGACAATGAAGAAGCACAACATCACTATAGCAGAAGAAATTTGATGCTTCCTCATTGCTGGTGAGGTGATATTTCATGAGGCATCATGTGATGGACTTTACACTCATTTATTTAGAATCAAACTATAACTTTTTTAATTAATAAAGTGTAATGTGTTTTTAATTTTAACATGAATTAATGAACTCTTATTTTGCACCAACATTAAACTTTCCCAAATTATTTAAATCTGTTGGAAACAAAAGTGATTTTAGAGGCTGTACCCTCATTACAGGACAATACCATGGAATCATTTCTCTCATATTAAAATTGTTTCTCTCATTTAAAACTCAAATAAGAAGGAAAAATTTCTTCAAATCACTTATACAAAGATGAATTTCAGGAGTGTGAGAAGTATAAATGAGTAAGTTTGTGTGTGAGTGTCCTTCTGTGTGCATAAGTTTACTATTGAAAGAAATAAGAATACTGAAAAACATAAGTATTTTGGAAGAGTAGAGATTTTCTAGCTGATTAGTCACCTCCCAGGTGATCAAGTTAAAGAGTTCCACTAGTATATAAGAGACTACTTTCTCCCAAACTCTGTGTCTCAGGTTCAGACCCTCTACACACAAATCCTGTCCTTGTCTATTAGGAGGTAACTGAGTAAGAAGTAATATGTGATTTAACATTCCAAAGTTCATGACATGTTGTTTTGGTGGACAGCTTGGGGTTTGAGTCATTGAGATAGGAGGCTGAACATTTTTTTTGCTTTGATGTCTGTGTCTGGCTTTGGAATCAGGGTGATATTGGTGTCATTGAATGACTTTGGAAGTCTTCTATCTTTTTCTATATCATGAAATAATTTGAGGAATATTGGTATTAGTTCTTCTTTAAATGTCTTGTCGACCTCAAGACATTTGTGTGTCCCCATCGAGTCCTGGGATTTTCTTGGTTGGTAGGCTTCTGATGCCATCTTCTATTTCATTGCTTGAAATTGATATGTTTAAGTCATATATTTCATCCTGGTTCAGTCTGAGCAAATCATATGACTCTAGAAATTTGTCAGTGCCTTTAATGGTTTTATTTAATTGGAGTAAAAATTCTTAAAATAATTTCTAATCTTTTAGTATCTGTCATGATATTTTCTTATCATAGATGTTAGTAATTTGAGTTTTCTCTATCCTTCTATCCTTATTCTTCATTAGCATGGCTAAGTGTTTATCAGTTTTATTTATATTTTCAAAGAACAGACTTATTGTTTTGTTAATTTTTTAATTTTGTTTCATTTTCATTAATTTTAGCTTTAATTTTAATTGTTTTTTAATCTTTTACTGCTTTAGGTGTTAATTTTGCTTCTTTTTCTACACCTTTGAGATATAATGTTACGTCATTAATTTGTTGAATTTTTTTCTTTTAAGTAATGAACTCTAGGGAACAGGCTTTCCTCTTGGTACTGCCTTCATAGTGTCCTAGAGATCTTGGTATGTTGTATGGGTGTGATCATTTACCTCTATGATTTTTTAAGTCTCTTTGATGTCTTTTGCAACTCATTGTTCATTAAATAATCTATTATTTAGTCTCTGAATGTTTGAGTAGTTTTTTATTAGTTTATTAATTTTTGTTTTTATTTTTTCTATAATCATGGAGAAAAATTGAAGGCATTCCCTCTAAACTCTGGAGCAAGACACAGATGCCCTCTTTCACCACTTCTATTTAACATAGTTTTTGAAACACTGGCTAGAGCAATTAGATGAAAGAAATTAGAGGGATATACATAGGAAAAGAAGAACTCAAATTGGTACTATTTGCTAATGATATGATCCCCTACCTAGAATACCCTAAAAGACTCACCAGAAAAATTCTAGAATTAATGAATTATTTTACCAAACAAGCAGGATATAAAGTCAGTACCCATAAGTGAAAGGCATTTCTGTATATTAGTTACAAATCCTCAGAAAGGAAAAGAAGAAAAATACCCCATTTACAATAGACCCCC